CACGGCCTGGTTCTCCCTTATCTTTGACAGAAAGCTCTAGACCATCTCATTGCACTAGCACACCCGCCCGAAGGGAGATTCGCAAACAACTGTGCTAAAGGACCCACATTTTTGCTCCCTCCCACCCTGGCTACCCCCTCCCAGCCACTAGCTGCAACTTTCAGTGTCGGAAGCTTAAGGTCATTGAGTGACCGTGGCCCGCGTCCTGCTGCTGCAGTAAATCGTTACTAAAATTGCAACCGTGGCAAAGCGAGGTCCCCTTCTGACAGCTACAGGGTCAGCCTTCTTCCCCCACCTTCCCAGCCGCTATCACTCTGTAGAGACCTGATTCATGGTTACACTTTCTGTCCCTCAGCCACGAGTTTTACTCCTTGAACAAAATACTTCCTTTTCATTTGAGGCTTTAGTAAACAAACGCAATGGTACCGCAGGAGGCTCAGAGCCGTCCTTCTGAAAGCAGTTCCACTGTTGAAAACTGAAAAATGGGTGTAATTTGCGTTCAGAAAGTGATGTTAGGGTCACAGCAATTTCCCGGGCCGTTATTTATTTTTACTTTAAAGTCTTTAGGGAAGATTTGCTTATATACTCGGAAATCTTCCAGTACGAGAACCCCAGCAATCCCGCTCGCCTTCAACGAAGGAGGGGGGGCTGGAGGTGGAGAACAATTACTGAGTGACGCTAATATGGGGAAACTGAAAAGAAATGTCGATTGTTTTTATTGTAATAGAAGGAGTGAGCAAACAGAAAAACCAACCCCGGCTGATCGGAAACAGGCAGGCGGAGAATGAAAAGTGGGTTTCAGGCCGCAACAGGCCCCTCCCTCCCCTGGCCTGGGAAAGAGAGAGCCGGCGCTGAGCGCTCGCTGGACCCTACAGCCTCCAGCACGGGCTCCTCGCGACTGTCCAGTCCCGGCACACCCGGAGCATCTTTCCAGCTCTTGCCCTCCCTCCTACAGCCTTACCTGCTACAGAAGAGGAAAGGGTCTCGGTGTGCGTGGTTCTCTGACCGAAGCAAGGCGGAACAGCCAGAAAGCAAAGCTCCGAGAGTCCTGGGGCTCCGCTTAGGAACCCCTGTAGCGTCTGGTTGCGCTGGGTCCCTGGGTCGTCAGCAGCCTCGCCGGCGAGCCAAGGCCAACAGGTCAGTGTGTGCGCGCCCCTCCCTCGCTGTCCTTCTACCCTAGGCCTGGCTGAGGACCCCTGCAGGCTGGCCCTGTCCCCAGACTTCAGTGGTTGTTTCCTCTACCTGCCGCTGCCACCCGCGACTCGGGACACAAATTTGTTGGGCTAGCCTTCTCGGGTGGACGTGGCCTGGCTGTGGGAGCGGGCCGCGCCGCTTGCCCCGACATTTGCCAGGAAGCTCAGTGGGTGAAGGCACCCAGATACGAAGGAGCCTAATTGCTTTTTCTAAGTCAAGCGCAATACAATGCGCTCACCCTGCGCCCGCGTGCTGTAGAGGAACCGGACTCGAGGTCCAGCCTTTGCCTTAAAGTTTCCCCCGAACTCACTGCCTCTGAAATTCCACGTCCCGGAGCTCGACTCCGGCTGCCTCTGGGGGCTCCCAATGATCCTCAGCAGGGCAGAGTGGCTTGGGCCTTACTGGGTCCATTTTGCTCCTAGCAGGGTACAAGCTGCGGAGTTCGGTTCCTCAGTACTCTCCCCTACCTCCTGCGTTCCTGGCAACTGAGGCAGAGAAAGACTCCCTTCCCTTCCGCCGTCACCACGGACCTGCACGCGCACAGAAACTGTCCTTAAGTACTGGCTGAGATCAAATGATGGTTCCCAGAGTTGCTCTCAGCCAGGAGTGCCGCGATGCATTGTACACGGCCTAGGGAAGAGCTGGACCCCTCAGTCTGCACGGCCTTGGGAAGAACTGGATTCCTCTTTCTGCGCATCTCTCAGACTTCGCTAGTGCCACAGGTGGCGGGTCCGTGACACTGGGACCCCTGACAGATTTATGATGACTTTACGAGCGTCTAGCCGGGGTCGTTGTGGGGCAGGGTCGAGTTCAGCCGAGGAGGAGAAGCCCTAGGGCTAACGCCCCGCAGCGCTGTGCGGGCCTAGCTGCTCCTGCGTCTCTGGGTTTGACTTCCACAGGCGGCTGCCCAGTGCCGAGTGTGTAGAATTCAGGACTAACCTCCTCCTTCACACCCTCTGGTCCTCCAGCTTCCAGTCTCCTACTGAGTAAATATTTACCCAGAGAAGGGGTCGCCCTAGAGGAGGCCTTAGCGCCTAGGGAAAGGCTTTTAGCTTCTCTCTGGCCTGTGCCAGATGCAGGCCTTTCTGGCTATGTTTTGGTTTTGGTCTTAAATTTCTCCTTTTAGTAGAAATTCCCCCGATTCCTGTATGACCTCTTGGATCCAGACTTCAGTAACCAGGGACTCTGGCCCTCAGTGATGCTTGCACTTTCTTAAGTCCTGCATCCCCGTGTGCACTAAGGCTCACTGGTACAAAGTATCTTCCCCTCCCTCCTCATTGTGTATTTCTCTCTCTCTCTCTCTCTCTCTCTCTCTCTCCCTCCTCCTCCTCCTCCTCCTCCTCCTCCTCCTCCTCCTCCTCCTCCCCACTTTTGTTACACCTCCAGGGATCACGGGCTCCTTGGCATCCAGGGCACTCGGTGCCCACAGGAAGGAAGGTTCAGCACTGGCCACTTCTTGGAGATGACGTGTCTCTTTTTCTGTTCCTGCACCTCCAGTTCCTAAAGTCCCTAAGCCCCGAGTTTGTTTTGTCATGGGTGCTGAGTGTCCAAGATTGACACATTCTGTGCTCTCCAGAATGCGGATAGGAGGACCTGAGGGACACTGAGGTGAGGACCTATGTCCAGTAAAATGCTACCTGCGCACGCCCAGGGTAGGCACAGCAGCTAAGACTGTGACCCATCAACTGCCAGACCCAGCAGACAGAAAAAACCTAGAGATGCCTATGGACCTGTGCAAGAGTGAGGGAGACATCCAACAGCCAAAGGATTTGCAGTGACTAGAATGCTGTGTATTAAATCCCAAAGCCAGAAGGCTAGACACACAGGTCTTTTGCTCACTCTGGGTTAATGAAGTTAGTTAGAGGCTCATTAGGACACCAGGTCTTGGCTCTCCACAGGCTGGACACAATGTCCTGATATTCCAGTTCAGAAGAGTGTGAAATCCTCAATGGGTGCCCCGAAGGGCAAAGAGCACACCTGGAGAACACTACTTGCATGGGTTTGCGTGGGAACAAAGGTTCCTCATTCGGGGCACAACATAATCTTCCCTTTGCACAAGTCTCAGGCAAAGTTACGATCTTCACTCAGTTCCAGTGTCACAAGACATTTATACAATAGCACGGAGGGGGTGCTGCTTCTGAAGTCTGGCTCCCCAAGGCTCTCCCTGTTACACAGCATCAGACTGTGCTACACAGAAGCATTGAGCAGAGAGACAAGGGTAAAACCACAAAGTCAAACTGTGCAAAGACTTTAAACATTTGAAACCGACTAACAAAAGCTAGGGGCCATGTTCAAGTATTTCTGTTTGTGACATCCTTCAGATTCCTGACATGGTACACGACATTTGAAGTAATCTTTCAAACCCTTCACAGCTCGGTAATTTGAATTCAGAGCACATGCTCACACATCACAGAAGCAGGCACCTGGAGATCAGCTTTTGCTTCCAAGACAGGCTAGATTTCCTGGGTCCTCGTCAGTGGGGGCCACCGGATTTCTCTGTGCAGACTGGAACCCTCGGGAGAATGGGAGCACCATCCTACACCCTGTGTGACCAAGAGGGGCCAGGTGTGACAGAGACCCAGTGTTATCGTCCCCTTTCCTGTGTAAGACAAATCCCCGGACCATTCAAAGTGCGTCTCTTCCTTATTTTATTTCACTCTGCACATTCTTGGCTTCAAGAATTTCTTTACCCCAAATCGTTCTATCTTCTTTGGACTTGGGGTGAATGAAAGTGAAAATCCACAGCTAGGCAGAACTGTAGAATCTCTGGTCGCTGAAATGAAGTCACGGGGAATTACATACAGACGCGATTACTTATATGTGGCCTCGATGTCCGCCTTCTTGGGGGAAAATTTTTTTTCAAGGTGGCTCACTGGTATTGAGAACCCTGACACATTTTAACATCCAGGACCCTGCGTTCTGGGTGAGTGAGGCGGGAGTGTGGGGGTGGGTGGCCTCTGTCACCAGCGCTCCAGGTATCAACCCTCCTTCCCTCACGGAGGTCTTGCGCTCTCTTTAGTCGCTAGTTTTAGAATTCTCCACGCAGCACTAGGTCCCTGCCAGCACCCTCCTTGGTTTATCCTCTCACTGCGGGCCTAGCCCTCCCAGGCAGGATACGAGAAGGGGTCTCCTTGTCCTTAACACCTCAAGCTTCTCCCCTATGGTCTCTCCGTCTCTCCGATCGATCCTGAGTGGACTGAATTTGTGGGCAAGATTCTTTTTGACAGTCCCCAAAGGTCAGCATCGCAGGTAGTTCTCAGACATCCTCGCGTCTCGGAGTTCCCTTAGCTGTCGTGCCCGCTTGCTTGCTACCATAGAGTCCTAACCTCCAATTTCAATTCTGAGCAGTCCATCCCTTCTCCAAGAGGTGTCCTCGGCCCCTACCCGCTTAAAGTCACCCAAATTGAGACCAAAGCTCCCATTCGCTTATTCAGCGTTTTTACCAGCTTGATTTTGCATTCTGTTTGTGGCGCCCCTGGGGGAAGACGTCAAACACTCACAAGCATTGTATTTAGTCACCCAGGTGCGGAGCCAGCCTGAAATAGACAGCGGAAGGAGTTTCCCAGACTGAGCTGTCACTCACCGGTCTGCACCAATTACCACGCAGATTGCCCGCGGGCCCACCTCTTTTGGGGTGTGTCACAAGTGAGTGATAGACTGAGCCGCCCGGCCCTGCTCAGCCCAGCCCACGTTGCTGCTTAGATTGAAATGCAGAACTCAAGCCTCTTTCTGCCCGGCACAGACTTCCTTTTACTCTTTCCTTTGGCACTCTGGTCGCCTCCTCCTGGGAAGAAGCCGAGGCACCCGCGGTTTGGAGCAGCGACAGGTCGGCCTAGTGAGAGCGAGAGAAAAGTTTCTTTCTGGGAGTGCGGAACTGGGGCCGGGTTGGTGTACTGCTCGGAGCAATGGGTGAGTGGCGGCGGGGGACGCTGTCAGAACCGAGGAGGGAGGGAGCGAGCAGGCGAGGGCGAGAGGGAGGGAGCTGGGGCGCGCAACTTCGCGACCGCGCTCTATTGACTCAGACCGCGTCCCTACGAACAGGCCAAGAGTCAGCGGCAACAGGGGAGCAGTGGGAACTCCCGCTACCGGGTGGCAGTTGATGCCATTTTCTGATCTTAAGAGAAGAGGGCTAGTACCGAGCTCCAGTGTCAACCCAAGTTTTGATGCACACGTGTTTACACGTGCAAACAAAACAACTTCTTAACTTTCCCTGGATTCTGTCTAACCGCACTGGGGGAAGAGGGTAAAGCGGTGGAGGGAAACAGGGGCCAAGCAGACAAGGAGGGGCGTGCTGGCACATCAGTACCGATCTCCCCGCCTGCTTCGGAGAGTTTTAAGTGTCTTGCTGCCCCAGCTCTCTCTACTTGTTTATAGCTGGAATGCTCCAAGTAGGAAGGAGGTCTGGCCGCAGCTTATTTGGGGCCGTTTGTCCCAGGCCGGAACCGTCCGGTTTCGGGGCAGCACCATTCCAATCAGGAGGGTGTTATAGCGCTGTCCCCGGACTCTCGTGGACGCCGAGTGGCAGGCGGCTGTCCCAAGCAGCGGGTGCGCGTTGTTGCGCGCTCTATGCTCCTTTTGCAGAGCCAGCCTTCGGGGAGGTGAACCAGCTGGGAGGAGTGTTCGTGAACGGAAGGCCGCTGCCCAACGCCATTCGGCTTCGCATCGTGGAATTAGCCCAACTGGGCATCCGACCTTGTGACATCAGCCGCCAGCTACGGGTCTCGCACGGCTGCGTCAGCAAGATCCTGGCGCGCTACAACGAGACGGGCTCGATTTTGCCCGGAGCCATCGGGGGCAGCAAACCCCGGGTCACCACTCCCACTGTGGTGAAACACATCCGGACTTACAAGCAGAGGGACCCGGGCATCTTCGCTTGGGAGATCCGGGACCGCCTGCTGGCGGACGGCGTGTGCGACAAGTACAACGTGCCCTCGGTGAGTTCCATCAGCCGGATTCTGCGCAACAAGATCGGCAACTTGGCCCAGCAGGCTCATTACGACACGTACAAGCAGCACCAGCCTGCGCCTCAGCCCGCGCTACCCTACAACCACATCTACTCGTATCCCAGTCCCATCGCGGCGGCCGCTGCTAAGGTGCCTACACCACCCGGGGTGCCGGCCATCCCCGGTTCAGTGGCCATGCCGCGCACCTGGCCCTCCTCTCACTCTGTCACCGACATCCTGGGCATCCGCTCTATCACCGACCAAGGTAAGGGGCTTAGAGACGGGTTACTGAGCAGAGTGGGTTCCTGCACGCTGTCGGGAACCCCAGACCTCGGCCTTTAGCGAGTGTCTATCCCACCACCTGTGGGTTTTTCTTTTGGAAACCTAAGGAGTCTTCCCAGGGGGTGTCCTGATCTCATTAACTTGAAACTCTTGCCCCTCCGTTTCCTTGCCACACACAAAGTCTACAGCCTCATCTCAAACTACCAGACCCATAACATCCCCCCATCCCCAACACATGGTTCGCATTTTCCACCCTCCCCCGCCTCTCGCACACTCGCGGCCTCAGCCCGGCTAGTCTGCTAGGAGAGCTCAGCCGGCCGACTTGGGGAGCAGTGGGGGAGGCCCTAGCCGGCTAGGGCCTGCGGGCTGCAGATGCTACTGCCGGTAACTTGCTTGCCGATCAGATGCAGCAGCTGAGAGTCCCGCACGCTGTGGAAATTGTATTATTATTCTCGGATTCTGGCAATCAGGCCAAATTTGCTCAGGCAGGAAGTTCAAATGTCACCTAATTGGTTTCATTCTTATGCTTCATTTTCCTCGGAAACCGAGGTCCAGGTTCTCTCTCTCTCTTTCTCTCTCTCTCTCTCCCTCCCTCCCTCCCTCCCTCTCCCCCTCCCCCCTTTCTGCAGTTACAGTGACAATTGCTTGACGGTTCGCTGTTGTCCTTTCTGCTGCTGCTGTCTCTGGGTGTTGCTTCCCGCCGGACTCCCGTTTACCTGACAGTCCTCGGGTACTGGGAAATGCTAGTGGCGGTTGGACCCCTTCTCGCGCAGGTTTTCAGCCTGAACCTTGCGCTGTCCTGAGTGTCTTTTCTGCCTGCTCAGAAAGATCCCCGGCACTCTGCACCCAAAGACCCGGCTTCTCCGGGAGGCTTGGGTTTGTTTTCTTTTATTGTGCTGCTAAAAATAAAATGTAAAAGACTTTAGCTTCGTTCTTGGTGTAGGGAGAAAAAGAAACTTAAAATGTTTTATTCGCTCAATTTAATGCCTAATTTTTTAGTGTAAGGTTTAAGACAGGCAGAGGAAAAATTAAGGAAAGAGGAAAATATTTCCTGTAATCATTTCTTGCTTTCTGAGTTTCCACCGCATTGGCACAATCTCCTTTTAAAGTAACGAAAGCAGTGCGTGGTTTCTCCTCTTCTTGTTTTCTGACTGGGAATTGACCAGAGTTATTTGGAACTAGCTCGAACCTTAGTTGGAGATGTTGCCCTTGATTTATAGGATAAACTGACCTCACTGACATTTAAAGGAAGCCCCTGTTCGTGGGAACGTGTGCGATCAGCAGAAATGGGGGCTCACAGGGGGATCTCAGTTTCTTAAGATAACTTCAGGCTTGTGCCCACCGACTGCCTTTTGTCTGGGAAGGCAAAGGCCAACAGGCCTGAACCAGCCATGGCTTCCTGCTGCAAAAAATGAGTATACGACCTTTTTCCCTTTTTTTTTTTTTTTTTTTTTTTTTTGGAGGGAGAGGCATAGTGAAACTGGGCGGATTCTTCTCTGGGGAGTCCTGCAGTCAGACCAAATGTCAGGTAGGAAAATATAGGATAATAGAAGGGAGTGATGGTTCCTTGCAGATATTGCTGTCTATTTATGATGTCACTTTTAAACAACCAGGTTTCTGATAAATGTGTGCTTTTCTCCAAATGACCACGCTTTGAAGAACCTGTATCAGATAGAAGTGTCTAAAATCAAGTTTAAACAACATCGTCAAATTTCTATACACAGGGCCAAGAAATGTCTTTTCTTCAATATGCATAACTGAAGATATTATAGCAATCACCTTACTATCTCTTTTTTCTGTTTATATATTCTTTTAGAACAGAAAGATAGGCGCATGGCTTTAGCCCTTTTCTTGACAGAGTTCTTGAGTTCTACTTTCATTCTCTTAATGATTCATTTCATCTTCTCTTTCTAATACTTAAAAAAAAATCCCTTCTTTATAGTTGACCATTGACACTCACGGTACTTCCAGACTTAATTTTAAAACTAAACATATAAACTTACGCATTTAGCAGGCAGAGATTGTCGGAAAGTCCCATACACACACGATGTGGAAATCTGTGCGTGTATGTTTTGCATTGTGGGCATCGTTCAGTTATTGTTTGCAAAGGACTTTGCAGCTCTTTTGTTCTGTCTTATTGACATAACTATCAGATCTCCACAGTGCAGTGAGCATTTTTCAGGCTGTCTCTGAGCAAGACACAAACCAGTACACCTCTATCCCTCATCTGTCGCCTCCACCACCACCACCACCACCACCACCACCACCACCACCACCACCACCACCACCACCGCAAGCATCAGTCAGATCTTTGCCACTCTCCTTCAGTAAGGACAGAGGTGACAAATATCCAACTTCACAGGTTTGGGTTCTTTCTTCCATTTGGAAAAATTCTCTTTCAATTCTTTCCCTGAGAGATCAAAAGGGGAGAAATGAAATCTAACGCTGGTTTTAAACAAAACAAAATTCCGTCCGGCGTGGGTGAAACTTAATTCAGAGGCCTACTTCCAGGTCATTAAAACTCCTCCAGGCCCTAAGCTGAAAAGCGAGGTGTCTACCCTTGGGCCCGGCGCCGGTAGGAGGCCTAGAGCAGGGGAGCTGACCCAAGGTCTCAGCCCCAGAGCCTTGTGGTTGGGGATTCGGGTTTTGTCTCAGGAGGGGGCGCACGGGGTTGAGGCCGAGCCTGACAACTCTCTACCACCTTCCCAGGAGTGAGCGACAGCTCCCCCTACCACAGCCCCAAGGTGGAGGAGTGGAGCAGCCTGGGCCGCAACAACTTCCCGGCCGCGGCCCCGCACGCAGTGAATGGACTGGAGAAGGGGGCCTTGGAACAGGAGGCCAAGTACGGGCAGGTGAGGAGGAGAGGGCTTGGCCAGGCGGGCCTGCTGGTGCGGGGAACTGGGAGATGGAGGGGACGCAGAGTCTTTCTGAACCTCGACGCGGGGTTTTTAAAAACCCGGGCTGGTGACCCACGGGTGCCAGGAGATGGATCCCGGGTTGACTAAGTCCGGGCGGAAGGTTGAGTAAAAAAGCCTGACCTCCCGCTGCACGTGTGACCCCCTAACCCTTCCATCACACCCAGCAGTCACAGTTAACCCAAGGCCGAGCTTCGGAATGGCCGGCCTTGGGGTTCAGAGCAGCGCCCCGCTAGCGGGATGCAGCCAAGACACCCGCAAGCCAGAGTCGCAGGACTTGTAGGAGGCTGCAGGGCCCTGTACAAGACAGTTCCCCTGCCTTGTCCGGCGATAATGGAAGAGGGGCAACCAGATAAACGTAATAAAGTTACCATTTCCCGATTAAAGGTCACATCATAATTTCCCAAGGGAGGTTAGTGAGAAAACCTCAAATTATACGGACTGGCTGTGGACCGTTTAATTTTCCTTTCCCTCCCCCTGGCCCTCCCTCTTCTCTCTGAAGGAAAATTTAAAACACTAGTGTTTCTTTTTCTCTCCCCGCTCCACCCCGCCTTGAGAAGAAGTAAGCAGCTGCCACACTTTTGTGTGAGTCCAAATTCGTCAGTATGCTAGAATGAAGAGTTCAAAACTCAAAGGCGGACTTAAGGCAGTTTAAGGCATTTACAGAGTAGACCCCACCTCCAAAGCAACAAAGTACTTAGTCTTATCTTAAAGCTTTAAAACGTTATTTCTCGTTAAAAGCAGTTATAATATTTATTGGAACGTATTATTCTTATCCGTCGGGGGACATCTTAACTAGCATTTTCTCTAACAAAGTACATTTCTATTTCCTAGTCCCTCTCAAGTGTCAGGATGCATTAATAGCTAGTTATTCCCTGGCAAATAGGACTAAAAACAGCAAGGGAAGAAAGGCGCTTTTATCAGTCAGTCTGCTTCCACTGTAGAGAATGCCCATGAGGTAACATCAGCAAATTCACCATTTTCTTTAGCAAAGACCTGCCTGGAACAATGAGCTCAAAGAGGCCACGTTGGTAAGCAATGGTTAGAAGCCCGGTTCTTTGGTATGGCTGCTTCTTAAGCAAGCTGTTGACCCATTTAGAGCCTCGGTTTCTTCATTTTCAAAATAAGGAAATAATAATCCCAAAGTCAAAAGAGTCAGCAGAGTCAACAGATTTGGCTCTTAGAAAACATTCTTTAACCTCTGTAGTTATAAATGGCAATTACAGAATGACTTTAAAAACAAGTGATATTCATATGTATTGTTTAGAAAATCCATATTAAGAAACATTCTACCAGGCATTTGTGACAAACAATAGTTCGAATACACAAAGCAACAAGAACAGTAGCCTAGCAAGCATTTAAGAGGAGCTCACTGCCTTCCGCTGCTATTGCTCTTTGGAATCACACTGTGAAGTCTAGAGTTCAGAATAAGCTCCAGTTCCCACAGGCAGTCAAGGAACACCCTTCACCAAAAAAGCAGTTTCCTCACCCAGAAACCTCCAGAGCCCCTTTCATTTCCCCCTCCCTTGAATGATGTGTCTGCCAGGGAAGCGTGTTTAGAAATGGCTAATTTATAATATGCTTTAAAACTAAACTGACAGTTTATTTAAAATAAATAGCATTTCAAGTAATTTGTTGTTTCCCTAAAACTCTCTTATAAAGAATTTTAAATTACTAAATTGTGTTCTATAAAAACAAAGAATTTAAGGATAAGATAGCCAGATAAATGCTGTTTTAAATGTTGTAATACTTAAGAGAGCAGAACCCCAAATAAAAGGATATTTCTGTCAAATTTATATTTGAAGAGCTCTTAATTGAAATGTTATCCCATACTGCTGTGTAGGCAGGTAATTCAAATGACCTACAATCACGACACAGAAAGAGTTTCTAAGCACAGCATAAATCAGTGCATACTCAATTAAGATGAAGATGGAAGATGGGGTAAGGAGGCAAACATTACACCTTAGGCATTGATTACACAGAAACTCCTAAAATTAATATGAGTAGGAATTGTATATGTGTGTATTTCTCTTGCAATATTCAAAAGTTAACTTTAATTTTACAAGTCTCGCTCTGCCTACAAAGTATTGTCAGCATAGTCTGATAACAAGGATAATTCAGGTTCCAGTTGCTCTCCTGGCGAACAAAACTTGAAAGTTCTTGACAAAAGAAAACTGAAAAAAATAATTGGCTGTAATTCATTTGGGCATTTGAAGTTGTAATTAATTGTTGTGCTATTTTTTAAATCTAGTTTTCTTTTGGGATGCTGGGGGTGAGGGGAAAAGGGGAATTTAGATTCAGAGCTCAGAGCATGTTTTCTTGGACTACACCTGCAAAATGACCCTAGAACAGTTGGCAACTGAGCACGGATCCTATTGCTTACCATAATCTGGAGTTTCTAGCTTTAGCTCAAACTTCAAAGATGCCTGATACCTAGGAATTAGAACTGTGTGCACCATGTTTCAAAATTAGTTTAGAATATCCAAATTTATCTTACACATTAATGTTGTACTGTAATTCATGTCAGCATTCCATTCAGAAGTCTTTGTTGACTAGGGTAGAAGAGTTTTTATCTTAGATTTTTCAACTATATTGGGCAGGAAATCCTTACTCTCATCTACTTGTGAAGGGAAACAATGTTTTCTTGTTCTTACTATTTGATTTTCTTATATTGAAGGCACAAAATCTCCACTTAATGTGATCAAGTGAAAAAATGAAATAGATAAACAGAGGTTTTGCCTATATTTGTCATTTTACATGGGATTTGGTAAATTAATAATTGATTTTATTTACACAATTCATAAATAAATGCACTGTATTTGAAAAGTTTTCTCCAAATAGGCATGTTTCCTCAGAACAGACCGCTCACCTGCTATTGGTTCCCAGTATCTTCATTTTGAGGTTGAGTATGTTAATGGAGCCAGTAAATTTAATATAACACTCATTAGCAATTGAGATGTCAGAAATAGAGACTAGTCTATAAATACATGCACTAAAAATGTTCAAAATTAAATGAGTTGTGAAGACAGTTGAATTTAAAGATGCAGCTTAAATCTAAAATTCTCGTATTTATTTGTGCATCATTTTAAGTGATGTCGGGATCATCTTGTATATAATTTTCTAGTGAAGTATTTTAAAAACTTTGTTTGATAATTAAAAAACAAGTAAATTCAAAAAACTGAACCATTTTCCTGAACATAGTATTTTCATAAAGACAAAAATGAAGTTGCCCTAAATTTTCTTCACAGTAAATAAAGTGCTAACTTTTGTTAAATTAACTTATAATTTTATAGAGAATGAAATTTTAGGCAAATTTCAGTAGTCCTTGAAATCCATTCTATTTTTGACATACATGGTCTAATTTGATTAATTTTCAACCAATAGTATTTTAAAACAAACTTAATAATTATATATATATATATATATATATTTATATCTGTAATATGTGTCATGTGAAATAGCAACCCGAGGTAATTTAAAAGACTATAAAATCCAGATCCCTAGATGAAAGGATTCTGGATTTTTTTATTATGTTATCTGAGGTGACTGACGTGCTAAATGATTTGATCATTGTACAATGTACATATGTACTGAAGCATCGCACTGTACCTGACAGTTCTATATAAATATTGTCGTATGCCAGTTGGGTACAAAACAAAATTAAGTCAGTGTAAGGCGATATCAGTTTTGATAACATTTTAGAAACATAAAATTTAGAAACGATTAAAAACCATACTAGCTTCCCATTACCTCGAGACATTGGGACCTGCAGTAGGTAACTAAACGTAATTCTCTGCGATGAGTGTTGAGCCATGTTCATGACATGGTTTGTTTTACTAGGTCATTACATAATGAAGAACAGAAGAGCAGTAGTTAGAGAGATAATCTCAGAGAAATAATTTATCAAAAATACCTGCTTATTTTCAGATGCGAAATTGCTTCTTGTCCATGAAACTGATATTGTGAATATCATGATATATGTGAAGCACGATTGTTTTTATGGCCAAATATATTTTATGATAAAGCCAGGGAGAACTGGTGTTACTAGAAAGGAAAGGCCAAGTGGATTGGAGGAGTGGCTGACAGACAGACAGATCGTGGACAGTTAGACTGGTATTTGCATTTTCTTTAAGAAAGAAACTGTTGAGTAGACCATTTCCAGAATTTGAAAAAAAAAATAGTCTTTAACTTTTAATTTCCAGACAGTTGTCATACCACAAACCAGCTTTCTTCTTCCTCCTCCTCCTCCTCCTCCTCCTCCTCCTCCTCCTCCTCCTCTTCTTCTTCTTCCTCTCTCTCTCTCTCTCTCTCTCTCTCTCTCTCTTTCACAGTCACAAGTGTTTGGATACTAATGCATTTCCATTTTCTTAGACTGGGAGGAATACAAGGAACAACCATAAATCAAATAGTGAAATGGCTTGTTGGAACTTTTATTTACTTTTGCCAACAACTTTATTCATTTGACTAGCTTGAAGTAAATGCTTGTTCTGTAATAAAGGGTGGGTGTGGGGGTTAGCTTTGTTTTGTTCTTAAAATAAGAGAATCGCACCTTTGTGTTCACAAGTCTTCAGTAAGTTGTTTATGAAATGGCCCTAATCTGTCCCATTTTGTGAGGATACAAAATGGTTAGGGCAGGTCCTTGTCCTCCAACAGCCTACCAACTCAGCCATGTGACCATCTAACTCAAACTCTGTTACAACATCAGTATTCCTCTAGAAGATCTCTTCTAGTGTTCATGAGATAAAAGCTGTCTTTTTTCCTGAGACAGCTCAACAAAGGAAACTTACTCTCCTGGGCATGCAATTTGTCTGTTTTACTTCATAACAGTAAATCTCATTTCCAAAATGAAGTAGAAGGTAGCTGGTTGTGAGGAAGATAGGTACAGCTTTCTTCCAGAGAAAATTCTTATTGCTTTCTTGGAAGATCTGTGTGAGAAGGGGGCTAAAGGGCTGGAGTCTTATTTATGAAATATTTAGGCAAAGTAATTTTCAGAAATGGGATTTCTATTTCATTCCTATTGCAGGGTTTCATTTGGAAAATTTGTTTACTTTTCCCTTGAGATTCCGTATGCTGGTTGATTTATAAATCATATTTACAATCCAATTAAACAGTGTAATTTAGCATGTTTGCTCCTACTATATTTATGGTGTACATTTGCTAGTCTCCACTCAGCCTAACGAGCTTTTCAGATTAATTACATGCCCTTCACTGCGAACATTGAGCAGATTTGGGGTGTTGAAATTTGCTCCTTTACTGGAAAGCATAAACAACCTGGTGCTACCTGTGGCTGCTTTTCTTTGCTGTGGAAAATTTTACCCTTTCAGTGAGTTCTTCATAAATAGTGATCACTTTACCCAGTAGAGATTTATTACTTTTGCTAATGTCATGTTTCAAAATGAATAGTGAGAAAATGGATATTTATTGAGTCACTGGAATGAATGAACAGAGAAGGAGGCTGGGGGAAGGGGCATTTTGAAGCATATTTGCTTTTTTCTTACTTATTCTCCCCCTCTCCAGTCCAATTTTGAAATCTGAACTCCCAGCAGCAGATTGAAACACTAAGACAAAACTCTGCTCTTGTCTTGCTGAAGCCATAGGCGTGAGCAAAAGCCGCCAAGAGTTAGTATTCTAAGGCTGAGAATTCCACCCCTTTAAGTGACCAGGTGCCTCTCTTTGTACAAGATGAAGCTACCTCTCTCATCTTGCTGCTCCTTCTCGGGTTTTTCTACAACACAGAGGGGATTGCACTGGTAAACTGACAGCCAGTAAATACCATGGTGTTTTGTGAACCTTGAAATATTCAAAATTACCACAGATGATAACAAAGCAAGTTTGGTATTTTAGGTATGAGAAGTTGGGTAGACATGGAAAATTTAATAGGCTGTGTTATATTTGAATGACTATAGTTATAGAGTAAACGCAGCACACAAAATTAAGCTTAAAGCCTCCCCACGCAGGGAGCGTTATCTAAGGTGAGAGTATGAGCCAGTCTTTCTGTGGGTCATATTTGGGGGTGGGGTAATAAGTGGGCCCATGTAAGGAGATGTCAGACACAACAACAGAACAGCTTATAGTGCATCAAGAATGAGGGTGCGTATAGTAAATTCCGCCACCAGCATCCGGCCAAAAGGACAGGTAGGAAAAGTTTATCAGAGATGGAAAACAGAATTCAACAACAGATATTTTCTCCCAGATAGATCATTATTTTGCCATGCATATTAAGTCTTTTGATATTAGGCACTTCAAAAATGTAGAGTCAAGTTTTCTATTATTTTAAAACTAATTTTAACACTTTTCTTTTGTGCTGGAGATCGAACCCAGGGTAATATGCACGCTAAGCCAAGAGCACTGAGCTATACTCCCAGACCTTAATATTCTTATTTTGTTTTTCTGGTTATACATTGGTATTAGTAGTATTAAACACTAATTAATAGTAGGCGGGGACCAAACACAGATGTGAACACTATTTCCTAATTCTACTGGAATGATTACATTCCAAACTAATTTTTAATGCATCTTGGGGAAAATAAAGATATAAAATAAAATAATGCATAAAAGCAATAATCTCTGGAACGCTAGGCTATGCCCCATCTTCCCCTGCAACTTGATGCCTGCATAGATTTCCATTACCCAAGAGCTCTGTAGCAAGTTCTTTTGAGACATAATTAATTCTTCTTAAAAAAGGGGACATAAAGTTTTTTTTTTTCATAAGGAGACAAAAGAATCTTTTGCTGTGGTTTGAGGTTGCATTACACCGCCTTGTGACTGTCTAGGAAAACCACACAGAAGACCTGCAGCATCAGGCAGGAGTGATGGGCTTTAAATGCGTGCCCATTTTTCAACTTTCTAAAGAGCCTTGCGCATGAAAAGAAGATAGGCCAGGCGGTGGTGGCCCATGCTGTTAATCTCAGGACTCTGGAGACAGAGGCAGGTGGATCTCTGTGAGTTCAAGGCCAGCCTAGTCTACAAAGTGAGTTCCAGGACAGCCAGAGCTAAACCTTGTTTCTAAACTACCACCACCTCCTCCAAACAAACAAATAAATAAAAACAAGAGAATTTCAGATTTATTAAACAACAATATGAAGTCATGTCTTTGTTAATTGTTCTGAGTTTTCTTAAAAGGCCATCATTTGGGGAGCCCTTTGAAATACATTTTAATTTCATCTGGGTATCATGGCATATACTTGTGCTATCTGGTTGGAAGGCTAAGGTAAGAAGGACATGAGTTTGGGGCCAGTCTGGGTACATGGTGAGACCCTATTTAAAAACAAAAACAAAAGCTGGGCACAGTGGTACACACATTTAATCCTAGCATTTGGGAGGCAGGTGAATTACTGTGGGTTTAAGGCAAAACTGGTCTACACAGTGAGATCCAGGACAATCAGAGATACATAGTACACTCTGTCTCAAAAAAAAAAAAGGAAAAAACCTAAAACAAATAAAAAAACAACAACAAAAATAAACAAACAAAAAACCCAAGCAAACAAAATACCCCGAAACTTAAAACAAAGCATTAAAATTCCAATTGAATTAATATATATATATATATGTATATATATAATTTTGTAATTGTGATAAGTTGAACAGCTTATAAATGAGCTATTGTTTTTTGTTTTTGTTTTTAGAGACAGAATTTCTCTAACCCTGGCTGTTCTGGAACCTGATCTGTAGACCAGGCTGGCCTTGAACTCAGAGAGATCTACCTGCCTCTGCCTCCTGAGTGCTGGGATTCAAGGCATGTACTACCATCACCCACCTGAGCTATTGTTTATTAACCCTTATAATTTTCTAAAATATTTGGATATTTCTAGGTGCCTAGGACATAGGAGGTACTTAAAGATCTTTTCTCTTCTTTTCTATTTTTAAAAGAATACACAACGACAAAAAGAAGAATATAAAATATGCATTTAATGTGTATCAAATATTTAAGATGAGGTTTTGTCAGAAGTCTGTGGGTAATGCTAATGCATCTCTCTCTCTATATATATATATTCTACAATGTGTGTGTATGTATGTTTAGATATTCCTTTTATACTCAGAAAATAGGCCTAGACCCCACTATTATATTCTCATAGATGTGGAAGTAAAAATGATGACAAGATGAGTTAATTCAGAAAACTGTTTTTGGAACTGAATGAGAAGGGATAGAGTTTATTGGGGGATGGCATACTTGGTATATACAAAGCTCTAGGCTCAATCCGAGTACACAAAAGAAAGCACCATTTCTGTCCTAACTTAATTGGACAAAGCATCTAATATGTGCCTGATTTACTGAGCTCTAGGGACTAAATCATGTTTTCTAATACAGTTCCAGTATTTACATTACCTTTTCACTAGGAAACATGTTGACACATTGGGCAGTCATGTCATTTCCAGGAAACAAGATTTAGTCTTTATCTTTACAGAGTAGAAACTGAGAGGAAAAAATGAAGCACTTGAAGGGTGGGGAGTACTCGTGCCAGAGAGGGATTAGAAATCAGGGTGTTTTTGGTGTTGTTAGTAGTAACGATACCAACAATGATTTATTAGATGCCAAGAAAGCACTGGTTTCTAGACAAGCTTGCCTGCCGGAGCCGTTCCATTTTGTTTGAAAACAAAGGTTTCACATTAAATTCATTTAAAGGGATTTATCCATATGGCTTTAAAAACAAACAAATAAACAAATAAAAACCCAAACTTTGCAAAATTTCCAATTTCAAAACTATACATACTCAATTCATATTTGTGGAGAAAAGTTCTTTTCTGATAAAACTGTGAAAAATATATTCCCGAACTTCATTAAGAAAACACACAAACTCCAAACCAAAACAACAATAAGAAAACCAACATCAAAAACCCTTACTAGAAAAGTCCCAATTTTACGTGTCCTTTGTCCAAGTGGCATTTTCAACATTGCATCTTAAAATATGGCGCATGTTTTATTTAACCGAGGGTTTGCTCATTTTGAGTTTCTAACACAGCAGCCCGCACCTTGTGGCCCTTCAGTCCTGGAAATGAAAGCTATATGAAACAGGCCGGGCACAGTGCTTTAACAAAGGAGCTGAACGAAACCCAAGTGCCAGGAAGGTTGACAAAGGCTGTGGAGAGCTGCCTAATCAGGGTTGACTCTTTCTCGCCCTGCCTCGCCTTCGTAGACTTTCAAATCACAAAAGAAAGAAGTGAATTTTCTGGCTGTAGCTTCCTCAAAAAGAGTTTGTAGAAAGAACAGTATCTTGCTTTTCAGCACTGTGTTTGTTTAAGGAGCCAGACTGGATACTTTTAGGTCAAAGAAAGGTTAAAAGGAAGTCTAGAGGGGGGAAAAAAAAAGACAGGCCAGAAGTAGAACCGGGAAACTGTGAACTCAGTCCGAGTTTCTAGTCTGTGTCTGAGGACTGGAGAGATGTGGAATGCTGTAATGTGATTGTCTTTCGTTTCTTCGGTCTTTCCTCGCAGGCACCAAATGGCCTCCCAGCTGTGAGCAGTTTTGTATCAGCATCCAGCATGGCTCCTTACCCTACTCCAGCTCAAGTGTCACCTTACATGACCTACAGTGCTGCTCCTTCAGGTTATGTGGCTGGACACGGGTGGCAACATGCCGGCAGCACCCCTCTGTCCCCCCACAACTGTGACATTCCCGCATCGCTGGCTTTCAAGGGAATGCAGGCAGCCAGAGAAGGTAGCCACTCTGTGGCAGCTTCCGCACTCTGATGGGAACTTCTATTTCCAGCCGCTTCACTTTGGTCTCCTCTCTCAGCAAATCCACCCCCTCTTCACACCCCACCCCTCCAGTGGTCCGGCCCTCCTGCCTCGAGAGCTGGCTGTATGGATTCATAGTCTCTGTGCTGATGACACTTAGATATTTCTTGTCGTAACTTCTTTCTTTTTTGCAGGAAACCTGGTGTGACTTTAGGATTTAAAAGCAAAAGCAGCTCTAAAGATTGAATGAGGCATTTTTGTTGCCCGCCCATTGTGTTAGCAAAGTGAAGAAACCTGTACCCCTGAAAGGGCTTATGGGACTTTACAGACCTACCTGTCCTTGGTAAAACCACACCTGTATATTTATTCTAAATCAGCCTGAACTTTTGAAACGTGCAATTGTTGAGATTTTGCAAAATCAATAAATAAAGGAAAACAGACGTAGAAAAAATTAAGCTATGTGATACCCTTTAATCAAATAATGTGACCAGATAATGCTTAATTCACCATTAGGAAACCAATCAATAACTCATTGGTATGATCTTTTGCTTATTTTTAAGAGATGACGTATTTTGTTGAAAAATATGTATAGATCCCAAGCAATATCGGAAAATTTCCTCCTTCCGTTGGTGTTTTGACTTGGTTCCTAATACAATAGTGTTTATATTACTATTAGCTTGTAAATATGGACCGTGGATGGTGCGTTGTGTCTTCACTGTACGGGCTACTCCTCCTCCAAAACCACCACCTCTATTTTCCTCTACTTTTTTTTCTTTTTCGCAAAGGTGACTTTCTGGCAGTGTAATTTTCTCTATTTGGTGGTGGGTCACTCGGGCTCTTGGACCTGGACTTGCCCCCAAATTGTGTGTGTGCAGTGAAGGCTTCAGCATCTCACGAAGGATACTTTCTTTCTACAGCAGAGGACTCCAAACACAGACAAAACAAGCCACTTTCCTATTTGTATCCCAGTCAAACACACATGCAAGCATAGGACAACGAGAGGCTGGACTGTACCTGTACCACACGGCTCTGAGGGAAGTCACCTAGACACAAGTCTAATGTGAAGTGTTTTCTGCAGAGACACTTAAAACGAACTTTATGGGATGAAAGAAAAAAAAAAACCCACTGTGAAATGGAATTGTACTGTTATTGTTGGCTTACCTGTGTGTTCAGCAATCTCAGCCCCAAATTATCTTGTAACTTAAGAGGAAATGGAGAGTTCTACTTTAATGAATGTAACAATGGCTTTCTGTGAAGTTTACATTGTGTACCAAAGCATGTTTCACACGTAGGTCAATAGGTGTTGGTATGAGAAATACAAATGCTATTTAATTTTTAGCAAATTCCCGTTATTCATTTATAGAATTACAGAACAGAGATGAACTGCTAAACATTTCTAGACCGGTTTGATTTTCAGTTCCATGTCATGAATAGACTTGCAGGATCTGCTTATGTGCGTGTGCCCCCCATGATTATATGGTTTATTTTAGAAGAATTCATTTTCTTGGACAAGATTCTACAGTTTGAACTCCTTCTGCTTAGAAGGTTTCTCTTGCTTGGAAAAATTGGGCTAAAAGTAACTTTTAGGACATTGGCACAGTTCTTCTGTTGAGATATTAATGTACTGCAGGGCATCTTGGTATTAATATCATTCAATAACTAAACAGGTTCCTTCCCAGATGTGGGCGTTAAAGATGCCAGCTTGTTGGCAGATTTGGTTCCTTTGCATTTGTGCTGTGCACAGCTGCCATGCTGTGCAGGTTTCTCTGCCTGTCCTAAAGCTCGGATGGCTAGATCAGCTCGTTTTTGAGTCCCTAGGATATAAACCGTAAGCAGATTTTTGACACAGAGTTATGTTCAAGAAACTGCTTTTTTTTTTTTCAAACAGCAGATGTCTCATAGAGAGCTTCATACTGCATTTCTTTCTAAAGCAACCGGCATTCACAGCTACAAACAGGATTATAACTTCAGGAGAAGAAAAGCAGAAGGAGCCGATGAACTCTCAGGGCCATAGCCTCCCTTTGATCTTGTAAAACTCCCCGTTGACGTCTGGAGTTTCCAGTGTGGTGAGAACACAGGCCATACCAGAATGGCACAAAGATTCAATCCAGTGTTTTGGTGGAGACTTGCAAAGCATGCAGTTGAGGAACTTGCCATCCAGAAAAATTGACTTAAGGTACAGAATTATCCTTTATCTAATGTTTTTAGGTGGCTCTTAGGAGTGTTGAAAAATATCAATTGTTTGTATGGAAATACAACTAATAATGTTATTTTCCTTATCTAAATTAAGAAAGCTTATTGTTATTTATATTTTTTTGTTTTTTTTGTATTTTAAGAAATTAATATTAATAGTGTCAAAGTTTTCTTTTCAACTTTCTTCTCTTCCCAGGTTTTTTATTAATTGCAGTAAATCCACATGGAGCAATTTTTAAGACAACAGAAAGCCTAAACAGAGTTAGCTACTCCTGACCTCTTAGGATTTGAAGCCACTTTAAAAACTGAGAACAGGAAAACAGTGGAGCCAGGACTGCTTGGCCTTTAGAGCTGTTACTGTTGGCCAGTGTTAATGCCCCCTCCCTGACTCTCCCAGGGTAGACTTCTGATTGGCACGAGCACTCTTCATGATCCCCTTTCCATCCGGTGCTGTGCCTTGAGTCCTCTCTCACAGGGTGCCCATGTGTAGCACCTTCAAGGACAGAAAGCAATCACACGACACAAACACATTCTGCTCCTGGCTTTCTGTTTCTAATGACCCACATATTGAATATTGGACTAAAATACAAATGAGAAATAAAAAAGCATGTTGGAAAAGATGTACAACAGAAGGCTATGTATGTATATACAGTATGTCAAAAGCCTTTTATTTTTATACTTCAAATGCTCTAAATTAATAAATATAAATAATTACCATGTCATTTTTACTGTTTATTTTCAAAATGTTTTGGTGAGAGTCCCCCATAGTAGAAACACCCCACAGTAGTAGTTAAGAACAGGTGCCATCTAAAACATGCCGACATCTTTTCATTGTTGACTTGAGCTACTGAAGTAGTCTCATTTGAGGCTGCAGACTTAAAAATCAGCTCTGGGTATATTAAGACCAAATTTTTTTTTTTTTTTGACTGCATGTCAGTGCACGAGCGCTTGGAAATGCTAAGAATGTATTTTCATTTTGAAAGATTTTCCTTTTTATCATAGACATTTTAATATCCTAGACTGTTGATTTTATACTTAAAGATGCCACTTATACCCAAGAATCTGGAGAACAGTTTTATTTCCCTACATCCTTTTTAAGGATGGCATAGGTAAGGGCTCAGGACAGAGGTGTTTGGAGGCAAATACAGGAAACAGAGAAGGGCCCAAGGAGTGCATCCAGTTTGTGACTTAACATAAAACTATTTCAGTAATAAGACTTGTCTTCACAATGAATTATGTAAAGGGAATCAGTTTAATATAACACCGTGTATTCTATTTGTAATAAAAGACTTCAAATAGCATGATTTAAAAATAACCCAGTTAAACCACCATGTGAAATACAAAATAGGCTTAGAAACCAGACCCTAACTGTGTATTATTACTAAAGAAAACCGGTAGACTCACATTTTTACACAGCACTCACAAAATTAAACATTCTCAAAGGGCTGTTTTGGTGTATCTAATTTTTTTCTTTCTTCTCTTTTAAAATATGACTTATGAAAAAATAGTTCTTATAAAAAACTTTTAAAGTTTGGCTTATAACTCAGTCTTTCTTTGAATAATTCTCAGGGAATTAGCCACAGAACAATTTATTTTTAAGAATTTAAGTATTTTTTTAAGTTTTATTATTATTATTATTATTAAAAATTTCCACCTCCTCCCCTCCTCCTATTTCCCTCCCCCTCCCCCCAGTTTCCCTCCCCATCCCTCTCTCTGCCCTGTGGGAAGTCCAAGGTCCTCCACCCTCCATCCAAGTCTAGGAAGGTGAGCATCCAAACAGACTAGGCTCCCATAAAGCCAGTACATGCAGTAGAATCAAAACCCAGTGCCATTGTCCTTGGCTTCTCAGTCAGCCCTCATTGTCTGCCACGTTCAGAGAGTCCGGTTTGATCACATGCTCCATCAGTCCCAGTTCAGCTGGCCTTGGTGAGCTCCCATTAGATCAGCCCCACCGTCTCAGTGGGTGGGTGCCCCCCTCGCGGTCCTGACTTCCTTGGTCATGTTCTGCCTCCTTCTGCTTCTCATTTGGACCTTGGGAGCTCAGTCCAGTGCTCCAATGTGGGTCTCTGTCTCTATCTCCATCCATCGCCAGATGAAAGTTCTATGGTGATATGCAAGATATTCATCAGAATGGCTATAGGATAGGGCCATTTCAGGCTCCCTCTCCTCAGCTGCCCAAGGAACTAGCTGGGGACATCTCCTTGGACACCTGGGAACCCCTCTAGAGTCAAGTCTCTTGCCAACCCTAAAATGGCTCCCTTAATTAAGATATATACTTCCCTGCTCCCATATCCACCCTTCCTCCATCCCAACCCTCCCATTCTCCCAAGCTCTCCTCATCCTACCCTTCTCACTTTTCTCTCCCCATCTCCCCTTACCTCCACCCCACCCCCTCCCCCAGGTCCCCAATTTTTGCCTGGCAATCTTGTCTACTTCCAATATCCAGGAGGATAACTATATGTTTTTCTTTGGGTTCACCTTCTTATTTAGCTTCTCTAGGATCACGAATTATAGGCTCAATGTCCTTTTATTTATGGCTAGAATCCACTTATGAGTGAGTACATACCATATTCATCTTTTTGGGTCCGGGTTACCTTACTCAGGATAGTGTTTTCTATTTCCATCCATTTGCATGCAAAATTTAAGATGTCATTGTTTTTTACCGCTGAGTAGTACTCTAATGTGTATATATTCCACACTTTTTTTTTTATCCATTCTTCCATTGAGGGGCATCTAGGTTGTTTCCGGTTCTGGCTATTACAAGTAATGCTGCTATGAACATAGTTGAACAAATGCTTTTGTAGTATGATAGGGCATCTCTTGGGTATATTCCCAAGAGTGGTATTGCTGGATCCTGGGGTAGGTTGATCCCGAATTTCCTGAGAAACTGCCACACTGATTTCCAAAATGGTTGCACAAGTTTGCATTCCTACCAGCAATGGATGAGTGTTTCCCTTACTCCACATCCTCTCCAACAAAGGCTATCATTGGTGTTTTTGATTTTAGCCATTCTGAAGAATTTAAGTATTTATAGACTTCTCAGAAAGATTATTAAATGAGTTTTTATTGTGAAGCAGTGTGAGTCGTATAGCTTTTATGAACTGTATCTGATCTGGACCCCATTCCTACCTAACTTACACATTCCATTGCTTCCTGTTCCTGTTCTTCTCACAGTGGGTCTATGGCCTAAAGTGCCTAGTCAATCTGTCTAAAACTCTAAACTATGAGAATAGGTTGTCTTCCGTCTTCACTGTACATCTCGCTTAGCTGGCTGTCTTCTCTTCATGGGACCTCAGATCACATGTCCGTTGTTAAGGGGAAAATTTTCTTAGCACATCACCAGTTTTCCTGCAGCCATGCATAGGTGTGTTCATACACCAACAACATCACTGCCCCACCTAGGAGAGAGAAAAGCTGCATCTCATCAGAGTTCGGAGAAAAGGCATTGACACTGCTCCCCGCTTCCACCCCATGCTACAGAGGCTCAGGAGGCCTTATCAGACTGGGGCTTTTGGAATCATCAGATCTGGAGCTCTGAGGCACAGATAGAAAACAACAACTGTGGAAAATTCTCAGAGTAAAATCAAGACCATCATGTGTTTCCAAATGCATTTTTCCCCCTATGAGTTTCTGCGACTTTCATCATTTCTCATCAGATTCTTTTTCAGGCACTTTCAGCTTAAAAAAAGTAAATAAATAAAGACATATTTAGTCATGTAAAGGCATGTGACTTTTCTGCGAACAGAAAACTTTCAGATTCTTACATCTAGCCAAAAGATTTCTCGTTTTTTAGACATAATTGGCATTGTCTTAGTTGCATTTAAGAAAGAATTCTCCAAGATTGTGCTTTGACAGACGCATCTGACTTTTAAACTGAACTGTGCTGTTTGGAAAATACTTTCTGAATATCTTAAAACACTGCTTTGCAAAACTTAACAAAAGCAAGTTGGGAGCTAAGCATCATTGCACTTCTCGGCCTCAGATGGGTGCAGATGTGAATTTGAACATTTGGAGGTAGAGCTGGGTGGTGCAGGACTGCCCTTTGTCTTAGATGAGAATGCTGTGTAACTGGTTGGGAAGTGGTTTGCTGTCAAAGACATCAACAGGAATACAACTCAGGGAAATAAGCACAGAGGATGCTGGACACCTGCACTCTGGGGCAAGCATTTGCCTAGCTAACACTACCTGATGTTGTGAATAGGATGTGTTTTGTGACTTAGAATGGCCTGTGTGAAAAAAAAAAGTTACAAAACCCAAATGTGGACAAAAACTCAGAGCATTACTTAGAACAGGCTTGGCTGCATGGGTGGAAGGTTGATCTCTTGGAAAGAAAAAGGACTTGATTTGGATCTTAGATATTTTGCACAAACTGCCATATGATTTAAAAAAAAACCTACAGGCTGCACATGTTTGTGTAACTATAAACCAAAGATAATTATCTGCCTGTAATTTTTATTTTTAACCCATGGAGATACTCTATTAAAGTCCTGTCAGCTGGTAAAACTCTCCTTGAATTCTAAAAATACAAACAAATGAACAAACAAGAAACCGTATGGAGGGTTGTTGTTGTGTGTGTGTGTGTCTGTCTGTCTGTCTATCTCTGTGTGTGCATGCTCACTGCATTTACTTTTACTAACTGTTCACAATGTAAACATGTTCATTCATGCTCTCCACCCACCCCCAAGACAGGGGAGAGAGAGAGAGAGAACTTTGATTTTCAGCCTAGTGAGATCTAGAGGAGAAATCAGGGACATTGTTAGCCACATCAAGCTGCTAAAACATTAACAAAAACAAGATGAAATGGATGAAGGATGAAAATTCTGGGTGCCCCGCTTGCTTTCTTTCCTTAATCACTTCCCTCCCTCCACTCTCTCCAATCCTCTTCCCTCATTCCCTCCTTCCTCACTTGTGATGCTCCCTCAGCGATCTACCTCCAGCCCCCACTCGATGTATCTTAAGTTTAATTTTTGAATTTTATTTTGGAAAGCCCCACACCATTCCATATGTGTGCCTGCCTCCATGCCAGGGAGAGGGTGGCGGTCAGAGGGCTGCTTACTGGGTTTCTTCTCTCCTTCCACCATGCAGGCCCTGGGGGAAGCCACTCAGGTCGCCAGGGTTAGTGGGAAGCATCTTTACCCACTGAGCCATCTCTCTGGCCCCCATTTTCTTTTATGCTATTTTCTTTTCTCCTTTAAATATGCTCGGCCTTAACTCAAAACCCCACCTTTCTCCTCTAAAGTTCTCCCTTTGATGTTCCTAAGACTTGCACATTTGAAATGAAGGAGAGCCCAGGTGTTTCCACTAGGTAACTGGTTCTTCACAGTTTGGTTTAGGCTGGGCAGTAACACAATAACCCTTTCCATCCTACTTAACACCACAGCAACTTAGGGCACCTAAAAACCTACGCAAACATTTGAAAGCCTCTAACAGAACTTGGGTCCAGATTATTTAAGAGTTTTGGTTCAAGGTTCCAGGGGATTATTACCATGTTAGCTACATTCTCCCTGGTTACTCTTTTCATCCCTACTCTTTGAGAAAACTGGCCTGGGCTGGACCTGTGATTTTCACTGGTGTTAGGTCTGTTCTTAAGTCTTTAGTGTTTGGTGAGGGAAAGGTACAGAGATGCACAGCCCTGCCAATGTTTTTATTCCTTAGTTGGTTTTGACATGTGGGCCAGTGATTGACAGGAAGCAGGTCTAAATGGCAACTATGAAGACAAAGCCATGCTCAGGCGCCCACAGAGGTTGGGGTGGGAGATGGGCAGCGTGAGCTATTCTCCAGCTTCAGCTCCCGTGCTGTTTGCTGTTCTCTCTCTAAGGTGGGGAGACCTGTCCCTTTTCTAGATGGAGAGTCGAATGTAAACACACGTGTGGAAATACAGGAGGACGTGGGTGTTAAAATGGAGGAACAGCAAAGGGAGGAGAGAATGTTCCAGAGAAGACAACCAGCATGTCTAAGGAGGGGCACGAGATCTGGTTAAAAAAAAATGTCTGTGCGGTCTAGAACATATGTTCATACTTAATCATAGGGTGCCTCGTAATCCAGGGCTATTTGCCCAGGTGGCTCAGTCTCCAGCAGCTATTTTCTTATCTGTTTACAGAAAGGCAGCTGACTCTCCATGTGGGAATGTCGGCCTTCTCTCTCTCTCTCTCTCTCTCTCTCTCTCTCTCTCTCTTCTTTTCTTTTTGTGGTCTCCTGTCCCCAAGCCAGGAGTCTTCACTACCAAACTTATGGGGTCTGGGACAAGTGAGCGCTTCACTTCATAGAAGTGACGGGGAGTGAGGTTCAGGGAACTCTTGATGCTCAGGGAAGCAAGCCCTCTTCCTTTCATCTTTTGAAAATGAAGGGGAGGCAAAAAACAAGATTGAGCCTGGAGCCCAAGGGAGAATTTTAGCAGATGGCTTTCTCTGTGAAATCCTCGACTCAGCCTGAAGCCACTCTGTATGACTTGGGGCTCACTCAGGCTTGGGTGGCTGTGGATCTTTTCCCACTGACAGGGCGATGACGCTCATTGGCCTCCAGCAAAGCCATAAATAGTATTTTTAAACAAAGGTAGAGTGTCTCTAATGGATGCTTTCTGTAGCTTGAACTGATAACTTTGTGTCCTAACATTTCCCCCTCCCCCAGTGTGGTAAACTTCATAGGCAACAAAAGCAGAGATGCCAGAACGGTAAAGAGGGGAGGACCTAAGTAGTCAGAGCATTACCTGGTCCAAGTCTCATCACCTTGGGAACCAGGCCTTTGTATAAGGCTAGAATCCTGTAACAGAAGAGAGAGAAGGGTGCAACATTTTTACTCTGGACATAGGTAGGTAGACCCCAGCTTCACTGAGAGCCTCCATCAGCATTTGCAAAGAAACTACTTGAACTGACACCCACCCCCAACCTGACAGTATCAGGCTTGGTATTTGCTGCAGCTAACTAGATGAAGGGAAAGTAAATTAGTTCTTTATTACAGGCTGTGCTGGTCCTGGCCAATCAGAAACATGCCTTTCATCAGTGAGATGCTTCTTGCTTTCAAGACAGCCATGTATATGGGCAAAAACGACGTTTGTAATTGAATTTAAAAGACTGCAAGCCCAGTCTTCACTTAGGAAATACGTTGCAGTTTAGGTGGAAATAATAAAGTATCACTTGAGAAACTAAAACTTAGAAAAATGATTAAAAATGTCAAATATTTAAAAATTTAAATACCCAGATTTTCAGAATGCTAATATTAGATCTTTTAAAAGTACAGAGTTAGACGATATTTTGATTAGCTTTTCGGGCAGAAGACAAGTATCCTGCCTGCATGCCAATAAGACATACAACATACAATAACATCATGCACGTTGACAGGTCAAGAGTTCATCTGAGCATTCTCAGGCAAACTTTTAGAGTTTTGTATAGCCGTGCCTCTCGGCACGATCATGGTGGTGGGAGGACACTGGGCCAACAACAACTCATTACTGTGTGGCCTTGCAAAGCTTGCCATAGATTCCACAGACCTCCTTAGACATAAGGCCAGCCTAGGAAGGCCCACTGGCTCTCATCAAAACAGACAAGACCCGTCTCAACAATCCTTGATCCTTGCACATTTATTGAAGGAACAATCTGTTACCCTTCTTCCTGGTAGACTGTCGCCATTGTTTTAAAGCAGTTTCTGTACTTGATCTCTCCAGGAACTGGCTGGGGCCCTTGGATCCTAGTCTTGGCAACATCAAAGGGGATGTTTAAGACAGAGCCTATTGTCCCCGAGAGAAAACCAATCCCAAATTTTCTCAAAAACTCCAAGGTTGGATCCTAAAAGAAAAGAACAAAACAACAGAAGGGGAAGTGGAAGCTCCTAAATTGGTTAAACACTGTAGAGCGACAAGTCCAAGGAGCAGACCATCGTCCTCCTAGCACCATGGCCCTCCCCTCCCGCACCATCGCCCTCCCGGCACCCCCCTGTTATTCCAGCCGAGCACATTAGGATTTCCTAGGCTGGAACTTGTTTTCTTGACAATCCCATTGGCTATGTTTTTACACATGGTCTAAATTGCTGAAGTACACATTTCCTCACACAGGATTTATAAACACAGTTCATAAAGAAAGACTGGTATGGCATATGGGGATGATTTGTATAATTGGGCTTCACAATGTACTTAGTATTACTGTATCAAAACAGGAGAAATCCAAGCACACTATTAGCTAATTGGCCAGAATATTTTACAAATGACAGCAACTTCCACCATGAAGCCTACTAAAATGCTCATGTGTGTGGACCCCAAATGTTAAATTAAATCAAGGCTACTCTCGGTCTGCTGCTATTCCCCTCCAGGTTTTTTGCATTTATTTTCACGTGTAGCTTGATCCACTGTACTGAGAAGTGCTAGCTTCCTGTTATTAACAAACCGACTTGGGGCGGCTGCAAAACAGCCTGTGACATTCTGTGCATTAGAAACAGTAGTAAGTCACTGGGCTAATTGGCTCAAGAATTTACAACTCATTGTTCCCAAGGCTTACTCTTCCTTCATGGAACAGAAGGAAAGGAGAGAAGGATGGGGAAGAGATGGCAGGAGGAGAGGAGACAGGAGGGGATGGGGATTCTCTCTCTCTCTCTCTCTCTCTCTCTCTCTCTCTCTCTGTTTCTCTCTCTCTCTCCATATGAATGTGGGCCCTTCACATTGGTCTGACTTGACTTTCTGATCCTCCTAGCTCTCCTTTCTGACATCAAAGTATTTAGTTAGGTCTTATGTGGGAGTCACTTTCCTCGGGTCTATTTCTGTGCCCGGAGAGCTTGCAGTAAGCTTTGTTATAATGAATTTGCTGGGAAGTTTTCATTGTTTGCAGCCTCAGTGTTTGCCCGAAAAGAAGCCATACCACGAAGTAGGAGCAACTAACCCTGATGACCTCCCCACGTCACCTTCCACTGACTCTTTTCATCAGTATTTCAGAGACATTGACATCCAGAGACAACACGAACTTGTGTGATTACACTTTTTAAAAACCTACAAGAACCAGTGTGCGTGTGTCTGTGTTTGTGCGTACTTGGCTAAGAAAAGGAGGGGTAGGGTGGAACAAATACATTCTTATATTGAGGTCCCAGTACTACATGATGCTAGCTACCATGGAAGAAGGAAACTCCTGGAGGCCCCTAAATTCTCCACTAAACCAGAGTCACAATCACTGAAACTCCTATGAGGTTAAATATAAAAAGCACGAGCAAGGGATTCGGTAATAAATTTTGGATCGGGGCCATACAGGTGCCAGGGAGGTTTAAAGGGATTTAAAAATCAACGGGGTGTTTCTAGAGGAGAAACAATGCGCTGACTGCAGAATGACTGAGGTGTGTTTCAATAATTCCCCATCCTTCGTATTTCTCTTTTACAAGGAGAGAAAAATGCCTTCATGCTGCCCTTCTGCGTTACTGCACAGAAGCAGGACCTGGGCTCCAGAGGGGGCAAATTTAGCACCTGCTCAAGTTGTCTGACCAGGGGCAAGTCATTGAACCCCTTAGAGCACAGTGTACAAAGGTAGATTTTAACATCTACATCTTCTGTGCACTGTATCATTTTCTTAGAAGGGGTGGTAGATATAAAAGTCTTCCCAGCGCTGTATAAAACTGGCAGAAAGTGGAGGGTGTTAGGATGAACCAACCAACCTTCCTTCCTGTCTTCCTTCCTTTCTTTTATTCTTTCATATCATACATTTGTTTGTGTGTACACATGTACCCACTCTGGCAAGTATGTGGAGGTCAGAAGACAACTTTCAAGAGTTAGTTATCTCCTACCACATGGGCTCTAGGAACGGAGCTTGGGGGGCAAGAGTTTGGGCACAAGTGTTCTCCTCCCTGAACCATCATGGCAGCCCCAGGAACCATGTTTTCTGAAGACACAAAACATCCTGTAAAAAGATGCTCCCGTAGTGTACCCGTGACATAGCTGAAATCCGTGTTTTTCCCCTATTCCGGGTGGTGGCAAAAATGATAATCTTTATGCACAGCTGGCTGGGAAGGCCAGGGAACCTTGTTAAACATCCAGACTTTTCCTATCTCCTCATCTGTTTGCCAAGGACTGGTGTTGTATTGGAAGGTTATCTAAGACACCAGTGAAACTCTCTGTGCTTGAGACACTGTGGGAGTCTAAGACCACGGAGACCTCCAGGTCTGTAGTGTGTGCATTGGCACGAGTACATGTCAAACCCATGTTTTTGTATTTTCCCCAGCATAATAATAAGACCCACAGGAGCTCCTAAGTACAGTTGTCAAGTCTGGGTCCTACTTCAGACCCCTCTCTGTTTCTCAGATAAGCTTCCTTCCTCTTTGGAAAGAAGACTGAACACGGTTTTTATGTGGGGCTGGTGCAATGGCTCAGCAGGCAGAGGCTCTTGTACACACATAAACCTGGCAACTTGGGTTTGAACTCTGGATGTCACGAGGTGGAGGGAGAGGACTGACTCCTGAGAGTTGTTCTCTGACCTTCACATGCATGCACCCTCATAAATAAATATGAAAGTTATTAAAACCATGATGAAAACTAGTGATTTGGGGGCTCTTCATAGGCAAAATGGAGGGTCAGTCACCATGTTTGTGGGCACGAATGTTCTTCTGCTGTGGCCGAAAGACTATCCCTCATCAACTGGCTTCTCAATCCATGGCTATTCTGTTCCTTTGACTTCATGACCTGCTTTTTGCTGTATCTGCTGTGGGACAATGGTCTGTACCCTGTCACTGGTATTTTAAATAAATGCTGATTGGCCAGTGGCCAGGCAGGAAGTATAGATGGGCAACTAGGCAGGAAGTAGAGGCATGGCAATGAGAATTCTGGGAAGAGGGAGTTTCAGTCTGCAGTTATCACCCAGATACAGAGGAAGCCAGACACAGAGCAAGCAAGATGTAACTGCCTCCACGAAAAAAGGTACCAAGCCATGTGGCTAACACAGACAACAGTTATGGGCTAATATAAGTTATAAGAGTTAATAAGAAGCCTTAGCTACTAGTCCAATCAGTGTATGATTAATGTAGACCTCTGTGTGATTTCTTTGGGACTTAATGACTCTGGGCCTTAATGACTGCGAGAACGGGGCAGGACAGAAACCTCAGCCAGCCCTCTCATCTTGCCTCTGATGAATTCACTACACCACCATGCACAAGAGCCTTCCGGATATATTCATCAGGAAGTTTTCTTCTCTATTCCCAAGACCCTGTTTCATTCACAGCCATCACTGTCACCCATTTCATCTGCTGTTTGCTTTTGCACATCTCTGTCTTCCTCACCAGACTGTGAGCCCACAAAGCATGCATAGAAACATGCATCACACTTCTTTGCATTGTCTGTCTCCCACAGGGGTGTTGTGGCACACGCCTGTGCATGTACACAAAATGAATAAGACCATGTAATTAAAGAAGTACGAGGATTGTTGCAACTAGAACTCTAAAGAAACAGAAGAGAAAGGGAGGAAGGAGAGAGGAGAGAGAGAGAGAGAGAGAGAGAGAGAGAGAGAGAGAGAGAGAGAACAAGTAGAATGAATGAGTCTGCATGGAGACAGGAAGCCCTGCATGTGTTGTGGTTGTGGCCAGAGATCCACAAAAAGGCCATACATCATATCCCAAACCTCTTTTGCATTCTGGTAAATTCTTTGTGGCTAGATTAAAGCACTTCCCTCCAAAGATTTTCTTAGGGCTATGGACACTGCCTACCCAGGGTTTTGGATGGTGTAGATAAAAATCTCCAGTACAACACTGCTGAGCCTATACAAACTGCTGCAATCACAAACTCCTTGTAGTATCAAGACCTCAGAGGGTTGGGGCAAGGACAGTGATGGTGAAATAGACTAAAGTCCAATCTCAGTCTTTGGGTGTTGGATAGTTGTAAGGTAGGGCGAGTTTGCATGATATTTTGGAGTTACCTAACAGGCAAGTAGAGGCATCCTGGGGAAGACAGCCTATGGGCCATTACTTTTGACTGGTATAAATGTATAAACTTTTTTTTTGTTTTGTTTTGTTTTTGAGATAGATCCATATAGGTCTGGTCATCCTGGAACTTGTTCTGTAGATCAGGTTGGTCTTGAACTCAGAGATTCGCCTGCCTCTGCCTCCTGAGTGCTGGGATTAAAGACATTTGTCATCATGCCTGGCAAAATAAAGTGTTATCAACTTAGGAACTTGGAAAGGAGGAAAAAGTAAGCAACGTGAAAGTTTTCTTCATTGAGTTAAGTGAGCCTTGGGAGATGTGGTTGTAGGGACCAGAACCCATGCTGAAGCCGTGTGCACAGGGGTGAAGAGAAAGCAAGCTGAATGCAGCTGCCTTGACTAGGGCAGAGTCAGGGTTGGCTGTAGCCTCTACCCACACCTCCAGCATCGTTCCTGGGCCCCAACCCAAGTATGAAGGTGAATATATTCATCTAGAGAGGGACGGGCTGCGTCTACAGCCAATCATCACATACTGTGATCACATTAAAGTAGGCTGTGAGCAGAGACAACCATGTGGCAAGGAAAGGGAAGTTACTCCTGGAATTTGCCTACTGAAATCCCATGACACAGCCTCTAGGTTTTGCCTCTGAAAAGCGTGGCCACTGAGAAGTCCATGAAGGCTAGTCCCTTACTCTCTTACCACTTGGATTTTCAGGTTCTACCTTTCCATTAGTTCATTTGAAAAACTGGAGGCAGATGAAGCTGTTAAGATACAGTGTGGCAGGCATTGGGGTAAGTGTGTTCTATATATTTGAGCCTCATTCCTGAGCCAGTAAGGGGTCTGAGTCTTGTCGAAGGTTTCTGAGTTTCCTAAATGGATATAAACTTGAATGAGCCCAAAGTACCC